AAAAAGGATAATGCTTTCTGGGGCCAGCAGGTGGCATGGGAGTTAGGGGTGCTGGACTCCCACATGGCCAGCCAACCACAGTTCCAATCCCAGACTTGGCAGCTTGCTTTCTCTCTCCCTATCTCACTCTGTCCCTCTCTGGTCAAATTAAAATAAAGTTAAATAAAATAATTTTATTTAAAAAAATGATAATGGTTTATTAGCTAGCAGACTATAGTCACTAATGTTTATTAAACATTAAAGAAGTCTTTACAGATCTCTAAGCGTGTCAGGAATCACTGAATTTCCAAGACCCACACTCATTTCAAAAGTTTGGGGTAAAATAAAGAATATGAGTCAGAAAATGCAAGGCAAGATATTCTAACAGGCACAGAGGATGTAAGTCATAGTGAGATTTGTGTTAAAAGAAAATTACTTCCTGTTTAACTTTTTGAAGGAATACGTGAAGAGGCATGGCATTTTCAATGTTTTTTTTAAATGGGCACATTTCCTGTGGGAGAATATTGGGACTATTGGACTTTGCTGTGAAGAAAAAACAATTAAACAAATTTGAAGACAGCAAAATGTCAACCAAACTGGAAACATAGCATAGTCCACTTTGGTTAAAGCATGGTAGAACATGCAAGGACTAAATGAAGAAAAAATGTGAAAAAAATCTCTTGATTTTTGAATATGACAGTGGCTTTTAGTAATACAGTAGGCAATTAGAACTCTCTTCAGAAGTAATTGGGAGCCATCAAATACCCTGAAGTAAATCAAGACTGTTCAGGAACATCGGGTGTGAAGACAAACTAAGAAGCTAGTGCAATAATCAAGAACAGCAGCAATAAGTTAAAGCTGCTCCTAGGCTGCTACTGGTAAGAATATGAGAAAAAAGGACAGACATACAAAAATGGATGGCACAATAAAATATCATGATTTTGCCTTTAGACTTTCAGAAACATTAAAATCCAGATGTAATCCATCTACTTGCACTTTGGAATAAGAGAGTAGAACTCACAAGAAAGCTTTCTTTAAGTAGTACCTTGGCAAGGGAAGGATTCCAAAGAAAACTTTAAATACTTGGAATACTAAGAGTGAAGACTAATGAAATTAAAGTGTGTTATGAAAAGACACAATACAAACTATACTGATTGTGTTGATAATTATCATTTTAAGGCCAAGAAAGATCAAACTATATAACTGTACAACTGCAACACATTTCTGGAAGCGATGATATAAATGGTAAAAAAGAGAAAAATAAAGAATATATCCTCCTCACCACATAAGATCTTGAAGCAAAACCTTTTCTTAAAGTATTTTAACATTTTTCATTTACAAAGTTACCCAAGAAAACTACTCAAATGGGCCCTCATTTTCCTTGATTCCTGTTTTCAGACATGAGCAAGCTCCCTTTCCATCAGTAGATTTCTAAGCTCCTGGAGTCACTGGGGATGGTGACTCATTGAGTTTTCTTCCATCAGAATCTCTAAATAAGGAAGAATTTTCCACTTGCAAGTTTCTGTTGAACTGAACATTTTAGGGTAATTTTGTTTTTGTCATTATTTTTAAACTACGTGGAGTTAAGACAAAGCCACATGCGGATCATAATAAACTTTCAGAGTCGGGCAGTTCACTCAGTATGCCCTACCGGGAGAGAGGGGATCTTCTATTTCAGCAGTGATTAACTATGAAAACAATTCAGACAATGAAATAAAGTTTTGCAGGATAATAGTGGAGTGTTTTCTGTTGGATTTGTACTTACTCTTTGGGCCACGTGATGTCAATCTTTCCCACGGTATTCTCTGATTCAAGACAAATACGGACACAGTCTATGCCTAGGAGGACTTTCCATTCTTTTCCTCTTCCTATGCTGAAAAATGGCGATCGCAGACAGAGAGGACTGAGGAAATGAGGTGATTTCTCTGAAGCTGAGGCATTTTTTAAGTAGAAAAAGATACAGTATTTGAAATGATGTGCTCAAATGGAGACGTCTCAGAGAGCTGGCATATTCTGCTCTGGCTTCTGCTCTTTGCAAGGTTGCAAACAGGAAGCAGCCAGCTCCACTACTCGGTCCTGGAGGAAGCCAAACACGGTACTTTCGTGGGACGCATCGCGCGGGATCTGGGGCTGGAGCTGGAGGACCTGGTGCCCCGCCTGTTTCAATTGGATTCCAAAAGCATCGGGGACCTTCTGGAGGTAAATCTGCAGAACGGCATTTTGTTTGTGAATTCCCGGATCGACCGGGAGGAGCTGTGCGGGCGGAGCGCGGAGTGTAGCATCCACCTGGAGGTGATCGTGGACCGGCCGCTGCAGGTTTTCCACGTGGAGGTGAAGGTGAAGGACATTAATGATAATCCACCGATTTTCAGACACAGAGAACAAAGACTATTTATTCCTGAATCTAGACTGCTGGATTCACATTTTCCGATAGAGGGCGCTTCTGATGCAGACGTTGGTACCAACGCTCTTCTAACATACACCCTCAGCCCCAGTGATTATTTCTCTTTGGATGTACAGGCAAGTGATGAATTCAGTAAATCTCTTTCACTTGAACTGAAGAAATCTTTGGATAGAGAAGAAACACCAGAACTTCATTTATTATTGACAGCTACTGACGGGGGCAAACCAGAACTGGAAGGTACAGTTCAGCTGCTGATCACGGTGCTAGATGTTAATGATAACGCCCCACTGTTTGATCAGGCAGTGTATAGAATTAACTTATTAGAGACTACCGAAAACGGAACATTAGTGGCCACATTAAATGCTTCTGATGCTGACGAAGGTGTAAATGGCGAAGTTGTCTTTTCCTTTGGTAGTGATGTTTCTCTTAACATTCAACAAAAATTCAAAATTGATCTCTGGCTGGTCACTGTACAGTTCTTGTCAAAGTTGTGGACACCAATGACAATGCTCCACAGTTGACTGTCAAAACGCACGGGCTTTCTGTCAAAGAGGACGCAAAACTTGGGACAATTATCGCTCTTATCAGCGTGATTGATCTAGATGAAGGCGAAAATGGACAAGTGACCTGTTCCCTGCAGCCTAATGTCCCCTTTAAACTGGTATCTACCTTTAAAAATTACTATTCTCTAGTGCTGGACAGCGCCCTGGACAGAGAGAGCATTTCTGACTACACCGTGGTGGTGACAGCGCGGGACGGGGGCTCGCCTTCGCTCTGGGCCCCCGCCAGCGTGTCGGTGGAGGGGGCTGACGCGAAGGGCCACGCGCCCGCGTT